CAGTGAGGTTAATCCTATACAAAGTTCGGGGTCACTCGAGGTCAAGGGTTACAGAGTAAGAGGAACAGTTTATGCGAATAGGTGAGGAAGCTAACGGTTAACCCGGAACTTGAACAGGTTAAAATTGTAATGTTCGGGGAAGCATCCTCTTGGGAGTCGGGGCTTGCTTAAAGACGAATTTTCCTGTTTCTTAGTACTTTTCACTTTCAGGTAAAATTCAACTTCTAAAATCAACAACTGATATATTAATTCAGTTATAATTATTGTTATTCGGTCAGTTTAAGTTCGCGTCATCCTCGAGTTCACCTGAGCCGGGTACTCTAGTGAATATCAGACTCACTAGAGTAGTTTTGCTAAGAATGTCGGTCCACTGCATCATGTGAGACAATTTCGCCTCTCCGGAATCTATCTTACATATCTATAAGCCTACCATTCGTCCATGCTTAGAATATTGTTGCCACATAGGGTCCGGTGCTTTTGCTATTTACCTTGAGCTTTTTTTTTCTTTTTTTTTTTTAAGAGTTTCACCCCAAGCAAGGCGGGAAGCCACTAGCACGCAAAGGGTTACAGAGAATTGGAGCGAGAGCAAATAGGAGTGATAGAGGAAAGGATGAAGAGAAGGATAGGGGATAGATCAAGGCATCTGGAGATGTTGATTGACATTACATTTGAATAGTTGGAGATTATAGTTATCAGGGAAACACGAAAAGGAGAGGGAGTTCCACAAGCGAGAGGTGCGAGACATGAAGCTATTGAAGTAGAAGAGACGGCTGCATTTAACAGTTTCGACAGTGAAAGGGTGAAAGTGAGATGCTTAAGAAAGTTGAACGCTTAAATTCATGAAGTCTGGGAACCAGCGAAAGCAGCTCATCGGATCAGTTACCATGAAAGTATTTGTAAAAAAAGACAGAGGGAGGCGACGGCACGTCTGTGAGAGAGCGACTGCAGACGAGATGCCAGATCAGGGCCAATTACATTGCATATCCGCCTCTGGATCTTATCAAGAACCTTAAGACAAATATAAAAAGCACCAGACCATATATGGCAGCAATACTCCATGCAAGGGAGAATGGTTGATTTGTAGATTTGAAGGATCGACTCCGGCGAGAAAAATTTCCTGGCGCGGCACAGGGAGACAACTTTCCTTGCGGTGGACGACGCTATTGACTCAATGTATTTGTTTCATCTCAGGTCAGCAGACAATGTGAGACCGAGCTGTCGCAAAGAGATGCTCTCGTGGAGGTGAGTGTCAGACATTCTAGGAGGAGGGCAGAGAGCTCCTTGATAAAATCTAAAGAAGAATCAGCAATATTGTTAGTCCTGATCTAGCGTCTTGCTTCAGTCATTTCCCCACCGACGTAAGGTTGCCTCTCTGTGTCTTTTCTATAAATGCTTTCATGGTAATTGTTCAGATGAGCTCTTGGCTACGGTACCTAACCTTTTTGAATTTAAACGTATTTTGGCGTCGAGATCTCATCGATATGCAGATGAGCTGGCTAGATGAAGCCGTAAGTTCTATGCTAAAAGTTTCTTTTTTTCGCTCTTCTCGGTTCTGGAACGCTTTTCCGGCTCCATGCTTTCCGGCGAAATTTAATCGGCAAAAATTTAAATGCAATGTCAATCGCTATCTACTGTTCTCTTGATCACTCTTTCCTTTTCCCGCTCATTATTAATATTTCTTTTCCTAATTCTTCCTCACCCTGTATTAGTTTTTGCGTCTCTGTGGATTTACTGCTTTCCTCGAGGTGATACGGATTAAAAAGAAAAAAGAAGCCGCACGGTGTAACCCCAGCTTGTCAACGACTACACCATGGATAGACAATCCGAGTATTATCATAATCTGGCAATTTTGGTAATCAGAGCGACTAATTTAATTTAAAGAAAAACAGACAAACTTTAAGGCGTCATTTGTAATAATTTATTTCATCAGAGAATTTTATTTTTCTCTGGATCTTCAGACTTCACTTTCAAAATGTGAAACGAAATAGGGAAAAGCCTGGGCGTAAATTAATATTTGGGTAATATTCAATGGCGGCACTCTCTAGGATTTTCCTTCTGAGTTAGTTTTTTTCTTTTTTTTTATGAGTGTAACATTTTTAAAATAAAAATTGTAGTTGAATTTTTTCTATGTATAACTAATGCATTAGCTAAGTTGTTTTTTGTGAGGTCTCTTTTCTGCTCATAAATGTGTTTTTTTTAATTTCTACTTGTTTCTCCAATATATTGGAAGGAACAGTTTTGACAATTTATTTTATAAATGCCTGCTTCAGAAATATTACCCAAATATTACCCAAATATTAATCTACGCCCAGGCTTTTTCCCTATTTCACCTTTCTTAACAGAATTACGAGCAGTTTTTTTTTTTAAAAATAATAACAAAAATACTAAAGAACTTTGGATTATTTACCTAACGAGTTCTTTCCTATTTTCTATATATTTTCACACACACACACACACACACATATATATATATATAGATAGATAGATAGATAGATATATATATATATATATATATATATATATATAGATAGATAGATATATATATATATATATATATATATATATATATATATATATATATATATATATGAGTGTGTGTTTATTTGTCTGTGTGTCTGTGTCAGTGGCTGCGTGCATGTGTACTTTTTATTTTACAATCTTAGCAGTTGCTTCATTTTAAAAATCGATGGTTCTAGTAAAAAAGAAAATTGAAAAAGACAAAAAGCCTTTTGATCTTCATTTATAGAAATAACAACTGGCCGTTCCAACTTGTACGTTTTGCAATTTCCACATCTCCCGGAGCTCAGTTTAGAACATCAATATCTCTTTCATGTCGCTCTGTTTCCTTCACCGAACCCCCGACTGCCCTGGCACTTCATCAGATTTCAGCGAACTTCAAAGGGAAGCCGCCATTTGCACTTGAACGTGTTTTCAGTCTTCCGACGCCAAAGTTTTGCTTTCTTTCCTCCTCTTCACGATCGTCTTCTTCTCATGCGATTTCGATTCTTACCAATTCCTCCGCATTTCCTGCTGACTCACCGATTCTCCACGTCCTATTGTCACACGCAAAGTGCGACAGGTTGAAATGAAACAGTTGACGTATATATATATATATATATATATATATATATATATATATATATATATATATATATGAGGGTCAAGCAGCTCAGTTCCCAGGAAACCGACAGCCCGACAACGGCACATGAGATTTGATTATAGTGGTGAAGGTTTTGTGCAGGACCATCCACACTTTTTGAAGGGCCGAATACAGAGACCTGGTGCACTACGTGCCACAGGTCCCCCAAACGACCCTCCGCAGGTTTTGAATTCAGAGTTGTCCTTCTCATAGACCAGTTGCCATCCAAGGCTATAGAACCCAGTCTGTCCTGCTATTTACCCATAGCTGGAATATATATATATATATATATATATATATATATATATATATATATATATATATATGGTATAAAATGACAATTGGAAGAAAATCTTAAATTTTGCCGACTTTTTCAAGGCAAAAATAAAATCGAAATGTCTTTGTTGTTATAGTTAGATTAAAAAATCCAAATTTAAAAAGATAGACGCTTCTATCTAAGCTTTTTTCTGGTTAATGTAAATTTCCTTTATACTAAGAGATTCTTTTTTAGCTATAAGAAAAGATATTAGCACATAAGTAAATACAATGAATTTGACTGAAATTCGAACTCGACTCTCCGATTGCTTAATCCGAGTCGCTATCCATTACTCCACCGTGCCTCCTCGTCTTATAAGATTCTGAGGGATGTTTGTCGGTAGGCTAACCTCG